TAGTTTATTAGACTGACTAGTTTAACCTAAAAAAGTAAAAAAAAAAAAAAAAAAACTAGAATGTGCTAACTTGAAAAGACCGGAAAAAATTTGAAAAACCCGATACGGGAAAAAAAAAAAAAAAAAGGCAAAGACCAAGAGAACCCCGCCATTTTCAACATATATCAATGACTACCCCCATAAAACCCTAATTCTCAAACCCCTTCAAAACTACACGAGCCTCTCCTCCGTGCCACCCCTTTACCGTCGTCTATCGTTTCCTCCTATTCTCAAATCTACCCAGAACCCCATTTTTGTTTCTTCCTCAAATTCAGCCAAAATGTCGATGTCGAAGAGTTCCAAAATGCTTCAATACATCAATTACCGTATGCGTGTAACAATCCAAGACGGCCGTCAATTGATCGGAAAATTCATGGCTTTCGACCGACACATGAACCTCGTGCTCGGGGACTGTGAAGAGTTCCGCAAACTCCCTCCGACAAAAGGATCCAAAGAAGAACGTGAAGATCGGCGCACACTTGGTCTTGTACTTCTCCGTGGTGAAGAGGTTATTTCCATGACTGTTGAGGGTCCACCTCCTCCTGATGAATCTCGGGTCAAGTCTACTGCTTCCGGTTCTGCTGTTCCCGGCCCGGGACTTGGTCGGGCTGCTGGTCGTGGTGTTCCTACTGGGCCTTTAGTTCATGCTCAGCCTGGACTTGCTGGGCCTGTTCGTGGTGTTGGTGGGCCTGCTCCTGGTATGATGCAGCCTCAAATTTCTCGGCCTCCGATGCCGAATGTATCTGCTCCCCCGATGAATTACCCGCCGCCGGTGATGAGGCCGCCTGGTGGTGGCCCACCAATGCAAATGCAGATGCAGAGACCTGGGGGCCCACCACCGCCTATGGCGCCACCACCACAGTTCAGGCCTGGTGGTGGCCCACCACAGTTCCCGCCGCAGTTTGGTCAGCGGCCAATGGTTCCGCCGCCTCCCATGATGAGGGGCCCACCTCCACCTGGTGCTCCACCTAGACCAGGAATGCCTGGTGGTCCTCCTGGTCAACCGCCTCGCCCGGGTATGCCACCCCCGCCTCCTGGCGGTCAGGTTCCTGTTTATGGACCTCCTCGTCCTGGTATGCCTCCACCACCTAATCAGCAGAATCAGCAGTAATATAACCGGTAAGTACTGCCAACTGACTTCAAATGTCTATGCTTTATACTCCTTCATTATGTATAAATGTGTTTTACTATGTTTTAATTTGATATGCTAATTTGAGTTATTATGATGTTAGTGGTAGTTGACCTTTTTTCTTAATTGAAGTAATAGTTGAAATTATGGAGAATTACATCTAAGTTCAAAATATTAAAAGCTTAATGAATCTGAGTTCTAGGAAATTACACGAGCTGTAGATGTGACGTTATTCATGGAATAGTGCCAAAATTTAGTATCATATAAAAATTGAAGTGAAGGGAGTTGATACTACATTTGACATGCTCAAGAAGTATGAGTTTCATTTACTGCTGTCTAGCTTCAAACTTCAAATGTAGTTCTATAAATCTAATCTTACGTTCAAGTTTACAGACTCAGATGTCGGAGTAGGAATTTACTAACTCGCCTAATTTCTTTTAGGCGATGGAACTTGGGCTTACTGAAGAAATGGCTAGTATGATATACTCTATGTTGCTGTCTAGCATGAATCTTTAAGTTTAGCTCATAATACTTATCTTAGCTCAAGTTCTTGTAATTCGTTGATGAGAAATTTATTTCTAGAGTACATTTTGCTATTAAACTTCGAATGTTAAACACAGCTATCTCAAGGTTGAGCTAGAGTATGAGAAAAAAATTGGATGGTAGGTGCTCTTAATATTTGTTACTACTTTTATGGTTATAGCGCATAGTTCTAGCTCTAGCATCAGGTGTTATTTGATAGGGCTCTTTTTCTCTAAAGTTGATTAGCTCTTTTAGTTTTCATTACCAATATCATGTGTAGTGCTTTTTCGTCTTATGGATTGGGCCAGAAAAGAATAATTTACGTGATCTGTTTAACTACCTCTCATGTCCATGATTCTTCTGAAGGGTTTAAGTAGAACTTCTTTGTTATCGAATTGAGAAGGAAGTACTCAAACTTTAATTCGTATATAAAGTCATTTGAGGACATTTTCTTTTTCGGATGTGTGATTCTAGGACATATGCTGAACTACTATCCAACCGCTAATAATTAACATCTTTTGGAAAGATACTTCTTATCATTTGCTTGTTGCAGTTAGGTTTTATATGGTTTCTCGTGTTCAATTGTGTGGTGATCTGCAGTAAGATTGGTTCTATGTCAACTGAACGGGATCTCTTCTTTGATTCGGTTTCCGTTTTATGTTAGATAGCAGGTTTGTCAGACATGAAATCATGTGCGTTGTGCATATTGTAGGCATATATATGTTGATGAATTTGTGATATTTAATGTAGTGTGTGTCCTTTTGGAAAGACAACTAGACTAAACATTCTTTTTCAGGATCTTCCACCTTTTAAGGTCATAGCACACGTAGTTGAACACTTATTATACTTGTCAGGTTAGCCTTTTCTTGGATGCCCTTGGTTCTTGTTTGAAACCAGTTGTTTAATACAGAACAAGCGCCATAGCTGACCTTTGGTATTAAATAATTTAGGTTCGTTTTGTTTGTGAAATTTTTTGTTTTTGTTTTTTGTTGTTGCAAAAAGTGAAGTTATTTTGTTGGAAACAAGCTTGTGTGTTTCAAAATTATAACCTTTTTTCTTGTGTAGAAAGACGAAAATTTATTTTGAAGTTGAAGTGTCAAGGAGTTGTTTTTCACCAAATAAACAAACTCTTCTTCATTCTCAGTAATAAAAGGACTACTACTACTACAGAACACATCAACTTCCATAAAATTTTTTGAGAACGAAACTTCCATAAACTTTCCTTCCAATCAAATTCACCAAAAAACTTTTTTCCAAATGTCATCCAATGGGCTTCTTAGTCCCGATTGCATTTGGTAGTAACTTGTATAATATCGTGAGAAGCTGAAATCCTTAACTATTTTTTTATGTCTGAGAAATCCATATGAAATGTAGAACTAATGTGAGTTCTTTCCATCATTTTTCTTCTTTCTTCATCTTTTAGGTTGCTTACTGGTTCCTATTTCCTATTGCACTGATGATCTTCGAGCATGGCCAAGATGTTGAGTAATTTGTGGGATATCATTTCAGAGGCTCATTTTTTCCTTTGTTATGTGTACACGGCAAACTTATGGTTACTTTGTGAATTGAAAGTGTGATACTACTGCCTAGATATACATTTTCAAAAAAATACTACTGCCTAGATATACAGCAAATGCGTGTGAATCGTTTTTCTTGCATTACTAGGAAAAACTCAGTTTTCTAAGAATGCTCCAGTCATTTAATCAATGAATTCTCTGGAAGAATTGTTCTCTCTTTCCCCTCCCGTTCCTTGGCTCTGTTTCCTGGTCCATCTTGAATGATAACTCATTTGTATTGTTTTTCTGTGAGCAGTGTAGGGCTTACTGTAAAGGTCAACTAGTCATATCTTCTCCTGCATGCGTGAATGGTGGTGTTACAAGTATCACTGGGCTAAGGCGGTTTCTATTATGTTGAGCTGGTCAGATATCTTCATGCTGTATGCACCCAATGTTTGTCGGTGTTTGCTAGAGTTCTGTAACTTTGCGATATAGGAGATTTCAAACTGATGTAGTTAACAGTATTTTGTCTCTTCTCCTTTTCTTTTGAATATTAAAACTGCTACTATTTTGATGTTACTGAATGAGAACTTCAGTGGTGCTAGACGGTGCTGCTATATTCCAGCTTGCATCCTTTATTTCTTCCATTCCCTGGATGGCAAAAATAATTGCAGATGCTCAGTACTAGGTTATTTCTTCAATTCATTTGAAATTTTCTGCCAAATATGAGTGTCGAGCTGTTAGTGCGAGGGAAAGGGGTGGGTGATGCTCCAGTGAAAAGGAAAAAATTAACGCGTAGCGTGGAAAGGATTATGTAGGCTATGAAATCTCATGTGGAAGAGGATTTTGTAGAGGTTCATGTCTGGTGGATGAGTAGATCTTTTTGCGGAAAAGAACTGTGGATTTTGTGGCTCGAGTTTGGGGAGAAATTACGGAGCTGTGCTGGCCATAGCCAGCTGAACTTCAGCCATCTCCAATGTTACCAAAATTGAGAAATATGGGAGACTGATACTCCTACTATCCCTCGTCTTTTCCCCCCCCTAGGGCCCTAATCACAATTATATAATTTTTGGGCTACTTAGATTATAAATCAAAGGCGGTTCCTGGTTCTAACATAACTAATCCTTGTATAACTTGTCTCAAATCTAAGTTATTTCGTGGTTCTGATGTTTCCACAAAAGGTGGTTCCATTATTATTTTGGTTATGTTGGGCTGCATAGATGATAAATCTTAACGACGTGTACATCCAATGCCGTTGGTTTGATTTGCCATTAATAAATTGTAATATAATTTTGCTTTTCTCATTTTCTTTCAAATATCAAAACAGCTCTTTGATATTATTAAAGGTGGATTTCAGTGAGGTTGCCTTTGTTATTCCATGTAAGGGTGTTCATAAAAACCCGAAAAATCTAACCAAATCGAAAACCAAATCAAACCGACCGAAAAAAACCGACACTTTTTGGTTTGGTTTGGTTTTGGTTTTCAATTTTAAAAACTGATCAAATTTGGTTTGGTTTTGGTTTTAATAAAAAAATAACCGAAAAAAACCGAACCAAACCGACTATAGGAGTTGCTATTTCAAATTTATTATTACACCTCTATATATGTATATTTTTATACAAAGTTTCAAAAATTTTATGGTGAATGTTAATCGTTTGCACTTTTAGTACAGTTCTTTACCTTTATATTCTATTTTGATTGGTAGTATTCTTTTGTTAAGTATAAGAAACCATTTCATAGTAAAAAAAATATATATATTTTTAATTGAATCCTTAAATTATTCATCATTATTTAATTCAATTATCATCAATATATTTTAGTAAATAATAAATTTCTCAAAGGGCGATTGATTTGATAGTATTACGTTGAAAATGTGATCGCCGGAATATGTGTTTGGTAGTGTATGTCTTTTATATAAGAAAAAGCCGACAAACTCCGACATAAACAGAATCGAGAAAAAACCGACTTAATTCGTGTAACTTGATTCTAATATTTGAAAAACTGACTTATTTAGTTTGGTTTAGTTCCTTTTTAGGAAAACCCATTCCAAACCAAACCTTGAACACCCCTAATTCTATGGAAGACTAAAATAATTGCATATTATTCCTTACTCTAAGTCATTTCTTGGCTCCACTTGCCTACAGCAAATTTCTGCCGGCAAAGTCAGAATAACGGCTCACTCTGAAATGGCTTTAGTGGCAGAGGCATAAATCGCTCAAATTCCTTCACGACTTTTCCAAGGAGCTCTACTGAAATTTTGCATTCCTTATTGAGTTTTGTCCAAAATTATCCCTTCTATTCTGGGGTTCGCCTAACTTTATCACTTGAATATAATTATGAGCACAATTTGTTCTCTACGTTTGCATAAAATGAGCATGTATGATCCAATTACCAGAAGACACCCACAAAACTGTTAAAACTAGGGATTCTCATTTCAAGAAGAAAAACAGAAAAACAGAAACCCAGCTTTGTATCACCCCCATATCACTCTATTCTCATTTCTCATTAGCATCTAAGCTATGGCACGTCCGTGAACTTTTCAATTATGAAATGGGCGGTGCCAAGCTACTTAAAGGAGGCGCTGTTGCCAATTGAGATGGAAGTTAGAGAAACAATTAAGTAAAATCCCACACCATCTCTTCATCTTATTTCTTCAACTTTACTAAAATGACAAATTCACGAGGATTACAAGATAAACTTTGACACCCTCCGAAAGAATTGAGACAATATTTGAGTTGTCCTCTATAGTTGGACCATATGAACTCATGTTTTACATACTTATAAGACAAATGGTGCTGAGGATAATATTTGGAGAATAAAGTTGACCCTAGCCTTAAAGAAAAGGGTTAATTTTGGCCAAAAGTTCTACCTTATTCTCTTTGTTTCAAGGATGGAGGGGAGTTATCGACTACTCTAACATGCTTTTCTAATATATGAAGAGGAAAATAAATAGTTCAAAAGGACCAGTTGCACTTGAGTCCTAATTTAAAAGAGACGATCAAGCTGTATAGCAAACTATCTTCAAACATTTCAAATGATATCAAGCTGAAAAACCAAAGATTTCAACATGAAGCTGGCGTTTAGAAAAGGATAAGGCCAAGTTCAACATGTCAAAACTAGAGCAAACAAAGAGAACCATTAAGTGCCGCTCAGAAAATCCTTTGCAATTTCATTGAATCAGATTCTGATTGCCCAGAATCATAGTTTTAGACTTCATCATAGCGGGAAGAAGATATACTGACGAGCCATTATTGGCAAACCTCCAAGAGTCTAGACTACCAATATATCAATTGGCATTGAGTCCTAATTAGAAAGAGACTATCAAGCTGAATGGCAAAAAATCTTCGAACATTTCAAATAATATCGAGCTGAAAAACCAAAGATTTCAAGATGAAGCTTACATTTAGAAAAGGATAAGGCCTGGTTTAACATTTCAAAACTAGAGGAAACATTGAGAACCATTAAGTGCCACTCAGAAAATCCTTTGCATTTTCACTGAATCAGATTCAGGATTCCCCCAAATCATAGTTTTAGGACTTCATCATTGTGGGAAGAAGATGTACATTCATTGCCTTGACCAGCCATTATTGGCAAATCTCTAGAGTCTAGAGTACCTATATACCAATTGCATTTGAGTCCTAATTAGAAAGAGACTATCAAGCTGAATGGCAAACAATCTTCAAATAATATCAAGCTGAACCACCAAATGTTTCAATATGAATCTATTGTTTAGAAAAGGATAAGGCCTGGGGTTCAACATTTCAAAACTATAGCAAATATTGAGAGAACCATTAAGTACCGCTCAGAAAATCCTTTGCAATTTTGCTGAATCAGATTCAGGATTCCACCAAATCATAGTTTTAGGACTTCATCATAGCAGGAAGAAGATATTCATCATTGCCTTGACCAGCCACTATTGGTGAATCCCTAGAGTCTAGAGTACCTATATATCAGTAATATGTGCCTAAATACATTTTAATTCACCTGGTAAAAATAGTTGCAAAATCTAAACGTTAGAAATCTCGAACCATTCTCATTCTAAAACAACAAATTACAAAAAGCTGAGGGCTAGGTGCTTCAACATCCAAATAAAAATAAAAATGATAAAATCAAAATTTTCAGTTCAAAAAAGATACTAAAATAAATTTTTGCTAAGCAGTTTTTTCGACCTAAAATTTCATGAGGAGGTCTTAACATGCAACTCATTTCTTCTTTTCACCGCCTCCAGCAGCCCTGGATCACAAAAAAACAAAGATAAGCACCTAGCCAGACGCACAATGGTATGAGAACGCAGGAACAGGGGAAACAAGGAAAAAACTGATTGAGAACTCTAAAGTATATTATCCGAGTTGAAAATGCTGTCGATTACCTCATTTTACGAAGAACATTAGACATCTCTTCACGCTTCTTCTTTGCTCTCTTGTGAGTGCCCAGCTTCCTCTTGGCTACTTTAAGAGCACGTTTGTCCTTTCCAACTTTAAGAAGTTCAGTAATTCTCTTCTCATAAGGTGCAAAACCAGCTACTTCCCTGATAAGGCTTCTAACAAAATGTACTCTTTTGCTGGTTTTCTAAACAAGAGACAAAGAGAAACAAAACTATTACAAGTCATCTTAATGGATTTAGTTATTTGAGAATCTCTTTTTCTTTTTGATCATTTAGATATCCAGAATGTCTAACATCCAAAACATTAAAAGACAGAGATCAAGTATGAAAAGAGAACGACTTACCCCTTTCCTATCAGAAGGGCGGGGCGCCAACTCTTTCTTAGTAACAACATGTCCTTTGTTAAGGCCCACAGAAAGGCCTGTATTTGGCTGCTTCGGAGCCATTCCTACAAATACCCAATGCATATTAAAAAAACCAGACTGCTGATTGTAAGCAGCAATTGTTCAACTACGATAGACACATGGTCACGTGTCTGGTTCTGGTCATACACTGCTTTAACACTATACATGCATCAATGACTCATACTTAAATAGTAGAACATATGGAGTAGAAAATGTATCAAACTAACTTTATTTCTTCCCGCAAAGGTCTTTAAGTAAACATAACCAAGTAATTTCATCCACAACATAATCACCAAAATGGAGATTGAACTACCCTTTTGAGTCAAACTGGTTAAAAATGGAAACTTAAATCCCTATTCTGTTTTATATCGAAAATTACATCTCTATTCGTCAAAACATTCCAGGCCTTAACAAACTAAGCAATTTCCTTTCCGATAAAATCACCGAATTAGACATTCAACTACCCTTTATGTCAAATAGCTTAATACTACAAAAATAGCATCTCTCTTCATCAAGTACTGCCTAGCTTAACTTTAATATAGCAAGAAAGAATAAAAGAAAACTGCAGAAGCTGAACAAGCTCGTTTTCAAAGGATCACTTTGATAATATCTAATACTATATGTCTATTCTAATATAGTAAAAGAAGCACAGAATTTCTAATTAAGCAGATAATATCACACACTAACCCAATCAGCTCAAATTGAACTGTACTAATTAAGCAGATAATAGAAAAAAACAGAATTGGAAAACAAAAACTTAAAAGATCTTAGACTTTAAGTTTAATTCAGGTTCTGACCTTAGAAATAAAAAGTTGCCCGGCAGCAGCCAGAAGAGAGCTAGGGTTTTTCCGATTGCAATATATACAGCATTTATATATTCTGCATGTTGACGGGAAGAAGGGTAGTTTTGATATTTGATATTAACTAGTTTTTGAGTAAGCGTTTTGCGCGTACTCCACATCAAAAAAATATAAACTTTGAAAAATTATAATAATATTATTAAACTGTATATATCTAACGTGCAATTGTTAAATATCATTTTGAACTAGTTCTAACATTTAATATTGAGTTAAAGAATATCATAATAGTGAATGATAATTTAGTATTTAAGAATGTGTTTTTATATTTTGGTACATAAATTTTGTAGAAGATATATTTATTTTATTTTTACTTTTACTAAGATAATTTAATTGTATTGAATTAATTGGTTTTAAAGTTATGATCGGCTATAAATTATTTAACAAACAATAATAAAATCGAAGGTGTGTCCTTAAAATATTAGTTAATTTTAATGTTTTAAATACTAAGTAGGAGATTTATAATTTAAATTTCTTAATATTAGGAGCTCTTACTAAATTAAATAATTGAATATTATTTGATTGCCAAAATACTTTTAACTCCTAAATAAAAGAGGATACTTTCTTTTACTTACAAATTGGAGACGTAAGTTAAGCATAATTCTTCTATTTCAATTTGCTTATAATTAAATCATAATAAGAGTTAGATTCTAAATATTAGAATCTATATTCTAAAATTGGAAAGAGTTAGAAAAATTAAAGTTCTAAATATTAGGAGAATAATTAAATAATTATTCTTAAACATAAGGAAAATAATAAAATGATTATTTCTATATATTAGGAAAATAATTAAATAACTATTTTGTCTAGTGAAAACTCTATTTTAAAGGGATAAAAAAGGCGAACGACATTTCGCTAAAGGCTTTCGTGTTTTTAATATATTATTTATTTTTTATTATTATTTATATTTATTATTTATAGATTATAGATGAAATAAGTACGATAATATTTTGATGATAAAGCCCACATGGTTTCTATTTGTAGAGATGGCACCTTCAAAACTTGTAAATGTAACAAAGGCACCCTTTCTTAGAAAAAGAGGGTGTTTGGATTGGTTTATAAAAAGTACTATAACTTTTAAGTTAAAAGCCAAAAGTCATAAGTTGGTAATACCCAACTTTTGACTTTTGGCTTATTTTGTACTTTTTATGCCTAAAAGTAAGTATTTTTAAGCACTTTTTATCATTGTCAAACACCACACAAACTGAAAAAGTGCTTAAAAGCCAATAAACACTTAAATAAGTCAATCCAAACCCCCTCAAAGTTTCGGGGCGGGGGAGGGGGGATTATAGGATTATTACTTCTTTAATCCGTTTTATAAGATAGTGTAGTATTTATGATATTTTTAAATATTAGATTTTTTTTTTGTTTATAAAAACCATAAGTTATAGCCTGTAATTGTACTTAAAGTGAATTAAAATAGATCTTCGAATTCACACTGAAATTTAAATAATTCGACCCTACTACTCAAAATTAGTTCTGTTTTTTCTACATAAATTATTTTTACACTTGAACAATGGTCTTTGCCATAATAATAAATTTCTGGACTTTTTGTGTGTTCACTAAAAAAAATGTATTCATGGGATAGTTGAGGCATACATAAATTGTTCTATACACGATCATTCTTAAAAATTAATAAACTTTTGACAATCTTGTGTTTTATGTGACCAACGTTTTCACTAATACTTTTTACATGGTTATTTTTCTTGTAACAATATATCCATATTCAGAAGAAAAAGTAGACTAAGGGTGTGTTTGGTATAACGGAAAATGTTTACCGTGGAAAATGTTTTCTTGGAAAATAAGTAGTAATCTTATTCATTTTTCGGTGTTTGGTACGCAAATTAAGGAAAATGCCTTCTCAAGAGTATTCATAAGTAATTTAGATATAATAAACATGAAGCCATAAACTTTCAAACCAACAACCTTCTGAACCCATATTTTTTATAAACTTTCGAACCGCTAAACTTTCGAAACCGCGGAATTTTTAACCCGTAAACTTTATAATTTCTAAACCCTTAAACTTCCAAACACATAAACCTCCGAAATCATAACTTTGGAACTTGTAAAATTTGAACCTTTAAACCGATAAATAAAAAAGCTAAAACTGAAAAATATATTAAAAATATTTTTTTTCGGAGGCGGGGGTAGGGGCAGGGACGGGGGTTGGAGTTGGGCAGAAAACAAAAAAAAACTTTTTTAGGGTTGGGTAGGGTGGGAGGGGGCGGAGTTGGGGGTGGTCGGTGAGTGCGAGAA